TTACAAGATTGGTCCTTGCCTGGCATCTGGGAGCTTGGCAGCTAGAGTCACTCCCTGAGAGGGATGTTTCCCTGTGCCCAGATGGTGCAAACCATGGCTTACGTTGACCATTTGCTTGCCTTCTTGGAGCCTGGAATTTTGGTACATAGTAGGCAGAGGGTGCCTTTGTCACCAGCCCCCAGTGAACAACTTGGGTGCTAAGTCTCTACTGAGCTTCCCTGGACATCACACACATGTTGCTGCATTTCTGTTGCTGGGGGAAGAATGTGGTCTGTAGCCCCTCCTGGGAGGGATCGAGCATAAGGAAGCCCACCTGCAATTCCTCTGGGCTCCATCTGTCTTGGCTCCCCATGTGGTCTGTCTGTGCCCACTCAGTCCATTGCCGTAATGAATCTTAGCTGTGAGGACAAATTACATGCTGAGTCTCTTGAGTCCTTCTAGAAACACCTCTAAACATGGATGTATTCTTAGGGACTCCAAACATAGTACTTCTAATGTCTAGGCTCTGTTCAAGTTTTGTCAAATATCCCAATAATGTTTTTGTAGCCAAAACCTCCAGGTCAGAATCCCATGTATGATGGCTTTGACTTCTCATATCTCTGCGGTCTCCTCCAGTTAGGAACAGTTCTTCCAACACCTTTTTGCTATCACTGACCTGACCAGTGTTGAAGACCATAGGCCAGGTTTACTTTGTAGAATGTCCTTCAATTTTCTTTTGTCTAATGTTTCCCTATTATTAGATTTAGATCAAGCATCTTTGGCCAGAATATCACAGAAGTGACTTTTTTGGTTCTCATTGAGTCTAATCATGCACTACACGATTTTAATTTGTCCTGTTATTGATAATATTCACCTGTCACTTGAAATAAAGTAGTGTCTGCCAATAAATAAATAAATAAATATTAGATCTTCAGTTAAAAGTTTCATATACCTGTGAGTTTCTTCGGTCTATTACCTTTTGTCTTGTTTTGTTTTGTTTTCCAGATTGGGTAATTTCTACTGATCTATCTTCAAGTTCACTGATTCTTTCCTCTGTCCTTTCCATTCTATAGTTAAGCCCATCCACTGAGTTCTGTTTTTGTGTTAAACTTTAGTCACTGTATTTTTAAATTCTAAAATTTTGATTTGGCTCTCTTTTTATCTTTTATTTCTATGCTAAGACTTCGACTTTTCTGGCTGAGACTTTGTATTTTTTTCCATTTGTTTTAAGTATATTCATAAGTGCTCATTCAAGCAGTATTTTTTCAAGCATTTTTTAATGGTGACTCCCTTAAAATCCTTGTTAGATAATTCTAACATCGAGTCATCTGGTGTGGCATCTGTTGGTTGTCTTGTCCCATTGAGTTTAAGATCTTTTTGGTTCTTGGCATTATGAACAACTTTTTATTAAAGCCTGGATAATTTCGCCACAATGTTTTAAGACTCTGGACTTTATTTAAACCTTGTGTTTTAGTAGGCCTCTTCTGACTCCCCTCTGGTGGGTAAACAGGGACCCACTTCATTATTGCTTGGTGGCTTAGAGATCCAGGTGCTCTGCTCAGAATCAGTTGACACCCAGCAAGGAGGGCAGGAGTGGGATTTCAGATTCTCCACTAGGAGAATCTGAATTCCATCCCAGTTGGGAGAGGAAAGCCAGTCGCGTCACTGCCAAACCAGGTGAGGATGGAACTTCAGCTTCCTCTGTGGTATCCACTGATGGTGGTGATAGAGGCAAGGAGGGAGGGCTGTTAACCACCTGGCAGGGACAAATATCCCAGTTGTCCATGGCCTTCTCTGATACCCTGGGGTGGGGATGATAGGGTGTCGTGTTACAGCCTGGCAAGGCTGGAAGTCTAGGCTTTCCATCTGGCCTTTGATGGTGAGAAGAGGGGCTGGGATGCAGGTATATTTCTGGGTGTTTGGCTGAAGTAGGTTGATTGTAAGTTTTCTGTCTTGCTTCACTGCCCCTTTCCTGGTTCTTTAGCTAAAGAGAGATGGCTTCCCTGGTGCTTTTCTTGTCTGTGTCATTTTGTGTTTCTAGGTTGTCAGATTCTTTAGCATCTAGTCTTGGGATGCAGGATAAGAAGAAAAGCCCAAATCTTACCACTATGCTTTCTTTGAGTCCGGAGGTCACCAGCTGGTCTGCCTTGTTTTCTCCACCTTTCAGAATCCTGTTTTATATGTAACACCCAGGGTTTCTAGGTGTACTTAGCAAGTGGAAGAGGGAAAAGCATATCTATTTCATCATACCTTCCCTTTATCTTTCTAGAAGCAAAAGTCCTTGACTTATTAATTAAAAGTACATTGGAAAGATTTCCAAAACAGCTGCTAGAGATTATTTTGTCCTTTTGGAATTCTACATGGTATTCTATGACTTGGACATACTGAGATCTATGTGGCAGTGTCCTCTTGCGGATGAAACAGTTAGGCAGTTTCTAAGGTTGTGCTATTGCAAACACAGTTTTAAGAAACATTCTTGTATATACACACTCGGCCATTTTTTTCAAGTACATCTGTAAGGGTAAGTTCCTAGTAGTAGTTTTTCCAGGTCAAAGAGGATGAAATTTCAAATTCCGACAAACATTTGCAAACCTTCTAAAGAGCCTGTACCAATTTATGTTTCTATCAGCCTTGGATAAAGTTGTGTGCCTACTGATTATAATCAAACTTTATGATGTCAATCTGATAGGTTAAAAACGCTGTTTCATTTTTATTTTATTTGCTTTTCTATAACTATTACAAAGTTTAATAGCTTTTCATATGTGTGCTGCCTACTTGAATTCCTTATCTGTGTGTACATGTGGTGTGCGTGTGCATTGGCCTATTCACATTCCTTATTATTTTTATTCTGATATAGTTCTCACCCATTTTTTGGTATTGAGGTTGGCCTCATCAGAGGAACTTGCGGGTACACCCTCTTTTACTAGAAAAGGATAACTGTGCTGTTATCTCATGTTGATTGCAAAAGCTCTTTGTCAATTAAGGGTATCAGCCATGTTCCTTCCCATTTTGTCTTCATCCTTGACTCTTATTTATGGTATATTTTTGGAACTAAAATGTTGCATTTCTATGAAAACACAGACATATCCGTCTTTTTTCTCAATATCATCTCAAATTCCTATTGGCTGAGATTTCACTAGTTCTGAATCCAAGGGAGAAGTGGCCCTTTAGGACCTTTTCAATTTTGAGTTGCCACAGGCCACAGAGCTCTTTCTCAAATTACCATACCACTCCTTTTAATGACTGTCCCACCCTCCAGATGAAGTCCCAGCCCTGGGGCTCTTCAGGTCCTGTTCCCTTCCTCTTTTCAGCATCTCCTGCTGCTGGCACATGCCTAAATCTTTTGTTCCAGGCTAGATGGGGCAACTCACACTGAAATGAGCCACCATCTCTGGCTCATGGCTGCTTGGCTATGATGCACAGACTCCAGGTTGTTGTTGAGCACAGGTCCTCTCTGCTGGAGGCCTAGTGATGTCAACCCAGGACTCTGAACTCCTTGTGAGCACAGCCCAGTTCCCTGTGCAGAAGAGTGTCCCTTTGATACATCTGCTATGAACTCCTGATCTGAGAGGGATCCCAAATGCCCTCCCCTCAACAATCTTCAAGTATGTTGTACTGTTCTCCACCACAATCCCCTGTACTTCTGAAAACAGGTTGAAGGTTTAGAAATTGAATTATTTGTAACTATTAATTAAGTGGAGACATTTTAACCTACATGAAACAAAGTAATGCAAATAAAATATCAATAAGTTTTCATTATTTATTTATAACAGTCAGTAAGAATCCCCCACAAGAGCAAGAATGTGGCAATGGTCCTCCCCAATTGTTTGTGGGAGAATAAACTCTTTGACTGCAAAGCACTCAGAAACTAATTGTGGGTGCACCAAATGAACATCTTGTATCGAAAGCCTAAAGGCGTCCTTAGCACTGAAGGGACATCTTGTTTGAATGACTACATAGGCATTGTTCTCAGGCAAAATGTTAGTCTGTATAAGCTTTATGGAAAACTGTTGGCATGTGTCCCAAAACTTTAAAAGGGTTCAAACCCACATTTTTAATCCCCTGCAAATCTCTGCTAAGAAAATAGCCTACAGTAAAAAAATATTTAGGCAAAAATGTTCAATACAGTATTACTTATATTAGTAAGAAATTAGAAATAATCCAAATATACAACCAAGAGGAACAGCAGAGTAAATTACAGTTTTCTAGCAGATAGAATAGACACAGCCCTGAAGGTGATGCCTGCAAGGAATTTATAATCATACAGAAAATCCTTGATATCATATGACATGAGAACAAGCAGTATATGCAAAACTATATATAAAATATACTTATAAAGAAACTGTATCTATATTAGAAATAACAACAATGTGTGCTCAGATCAGAGGCTGGAAGAAAATACACCAGAACTGTTGAGTGGTTTTGTTTGGGTGTTATGACAAATACAGCAACTTTTCCCCCCAAATTTTATATTTTTTCTAAATTTTCATTTTTAAGCTATTTTTGTAATGACAAAAAGTGTAAAAGAATATTGTAGGTTAAACTTTCAGATGGCACTTTGTTCTTTGCATTTTAAGTGACCCCCTACCCCTGTCCCTCAAAGGCCTCACCAAACAATGGTGTTGAGGGTTCTGCTTAGGTGTTGTCAGACTGAGAAGTTAACTCGAAAGGCATGGCAACCACAAATTTATATCCACATTGAAGTATTTCTAGAATGCAATAAAAATGCTCATTATATAGGATGTCCCAAAGGTCACCATAAATGGGAAAAAATAAGAAATTAATATTTTATATTTTTAATATTCTTATATTTATGTATCAACATGTAGAGAAATATTTTGTAACCATTTTGTAACATTTTGTAATGAGTATTTTGTAAATAAAAGTATATGTAGCTACAATTTCCCATTTTCCCTGTGTATCTAGGCATGGTGACCTTTGTGATAATAATGAGCACATAATCTGAGCAGTGACCTTCGTCCAGTTCAGGATTGCAGCTGAGGGGTGGGCATGCACCATACCTTTTCCAGCAGGGACTCACTCTCATCACAAGCCTCCCTGAGCAAGTCTTGGGCCCTTCTGAGGTCTCCCCATCTGTATGCAGCATGAATGCGTTCCGTTCTGGGGGCCTGTGCTGTGGCATCACTGCCTGGTGTGGATGGCTTGCTGCCCATGTCTCTGGCACCTGTGTGGGAGGAAGCATACACTCAGAGTCACTGTCACTCCCAGTGTGTTCTTGGGAGTCATCGGAGGAGACAGTAGAGGAATGTGCTGTCCATAATGCAATTTTGGAGGCTGTGGGAAGAGAAAAGGATGGCCCTGAATTACTGCCAAGCACCTGCCACTCCCGGGACCAGCGCTCCTTCCAGAAGAGTCTTTCTGGGGCTGGTGCTGAAGTCTGGCTGTCTGTGAATGCACAGCCAGCTGAGCACAGCTCAGAGGATTCTGCAGTAAGGCTGCCACCTGGACCTGCTCCAGGGCAGCAGGGACTGCTGCCCCATGAGGAGCTGCCAGGCTGGCCTCACTGACAGCAGCAGCAGAGTACAGGCTTCTGGGGAGAGCTGGTGGGCCCAGCCAAACAGTCACGCTGCTGTGTCCCTCAGGGGGACTAAGCATCTCACAGCAGCAGAACGACAGTGTGAAAATCTATATGCTTCCCTAAGCCCCTCCTCACGGAGAAAATTCCACAAAGGACACAAGATTTACAATCGGCAGCCCTCACCCCACACTTGCCCATGCACAGACACACATGGTGGCCCTGAGCAATCTCTTAAAACTCTAGGCCTCGCTTGTCCACTGGTGTGGGGCTGCTCCAGGTCAACTGAGCACCTGGGGCAAGCTGGGAGAGGATACATCATGCGGCACCCTGGGCCATTCAGTAAACATACAGGGCATGTACAGAGCTGCCCCTATAGACCAACCACAGGCAGGCTGCTGAAGGCAGAGGGAAAGGAAGGCACCTCTACCCTCACTGAGCGTCCACTCTATAACAGCATCCATCGCTAGGCATCTGTGGACCCCAAACAGCTGACAAACAGGTTTCAGAAGTCCCTGAACATCCTAAAATTATACACAATACTCTATGCATGTGCGTGTTTGTGTAAACATGTGCGTACATGTGTGTGCATGTGTGTACATGTGTGTGTGAATATGCGTATGTACATTTTCCTGGAGGTAAGATTCAAGGCCTCTACCATATTTCCAGAGAAGTTAGCAAACCAGAGTTTAAGTGTTATGTGTATAGATATTATAGAAAAGACTACGTTGAATGGCGAGTTTAATTCTGATTGTGTTGAGTGGCAGTAGAAGTAGGGAGAGAATCCTACTGTGAAAAGTGATCACATAAATTGGGTCATTCTTGTTATACTCAACTAAAACAGTGGAGAAGCCAAGAAGAAGAAGCCCTTGTATTAACATCACTCCAAAAATATAATTCACTGACCACTAAAACTACCTACTATAACTGGAACCTGTTTTATCAAACAACTATTAAATGAACCTACTCCAACTCTGAAATTAATTTTACCCACAACTGTTATCTACCAATCGAAACTTGTCAACTCCCCCAAACCTTACTAATACCAATAAACTTTCTAAAAAAACATGTAACATTTCTCTTTTTTATAAAGCTCCCAACTTTCTCTTTATTCTTCAAATATATACACCCCAAATTACAATTCATACATCCCAAATAAGAGATGACATTTAAAAATTCATCTTTCCATTTTTATTTTGATTTTGCACTACCATTCTTGGCCAAGATCACACAGCCAGTAGAAGCCTGAAGTTTTGTCTCCCAGCTCATAGGCTGGAGATAAACCCACATTATCTTCTTGCTGTGATGAATAAAATAGGATTTAGATTTTTTTAAAAATTAAATGTAGATGCTGAGCAAAGTTGGCTTACAAACATACATATCACAAAAGTGAATCACAGGGCGGTGCCTGTGGCTCAAAGGAGTATGGCATCCGCCCCAAATGCTGGAGGTAGCAGGTTCAAACCCAGTCCTGGCCAAAAACTGAAAAACAAAAAAAAAAAAAAAAAAAAAGAAAAACAAAAGTGAATCACATAATGGCAGCTAAAATTTGGAAAATTAAAAAATTATTTACTTACAATGGCATAAAAATAACAAAGAAATAAATTTAACAAAAAACGGGGAATGTTTGTACACTTTAAACTATAAAACACTAGTGAGAGAAACTGAACAAGACCAAATAAGTGGAAATCCATTCATGTTCATAGATTAGGAGAATTGATACTATTAAGATGTCAGTTCTCCCTGATTTTATATAGAGAGTCAACTTAATCCCAACTATAACACCAACAGGTCTTTTTTTTTTTTCATTTTGGTAGAAACTGACAATCTTATTTTCAAATTTGAATATCCAAAATGATCTGGAAAAAGAAGAGAGTTGGAGAATTTACACTACCTGAAAGTCTTGAGACTTTCTCTAAAGCTACAGTCATCAGGACAGTGTGGGCTCAGCACCCAGAGCTTGGTGGTTAGGGCACTGGCCACATACACTAAAGCTGGTGGGTTTGAGCCCAGCCCAGGCCTGCTAAACAACAGTGACAACTACAACCAAAAAACAGCTGGTTGTAGGTGTCTGCAGTTCCAGCTACTCAGGAGGCTAAGGCAAGAGAATTGCTTAAGCCCAAGAGTTTGAGGTTGCTGTGAGCTGTGATACCACAGCACTCTACCAAGGGCAACATAGTGAGACTCTGTCTCAAAAAAAAAAAAAAAAAAAGGCAGTGTGGTATTGGAGACAAACTGCTCCAAGGGACAGAATAGAGAGTAGAGAAACAGAATACTTGTCTATCCAATTGATTTTTGACATGAGTACTACAGTAATACAAGGAGAAAAGCAAAGTCTTTTCAATAAATAGTGATGGAACAACTGGAAATTCTCATTTAATAAAGAGAAGCCCTGACTCCCTACTTCTCACCATGTACAAAAATTAACTTGAGATGCATCACAGACTTAAACAAGAGAGCTAAAACTATAAAGCTTTAAGAAAAACACATGGAAGACTGTCTTCATGACTTGAAAGCAAGTGAAATTTATTGGATGGGACACAGAAAACACGAATCATGAAAAGAAAACATTCCTGAACTAGACATAATCAAAATTTAAAACTTTAGCTCAACAAATACACCATTTAAAGATGAATAGGAAAATTATAGACTGGAATAAAACATTTTAAAACCACGTATCTGAAAAGGAATGGTATCCAGAATATAAAAACTCCCACAACTCAACAATAAAAAGACAAATATAGTGCTATCAAAAATGGGCAAAGATTTGAACAGCAGAAGATACTCCAAGAGCTCTATGTCATTAGTCATCAGGGAAATGCAAATTAAAATCACTATCAAGCACCACTATAAATGGCTAATATTTAAAAAGACTGACAATACTTTGTGAGGATATGGAGTAACCAGAATGTTCACAACTTACTGGTTATTAAAGTATAACATGATGTAATCACTTGGGAAATGGGTTTAGTGGTTTCTTATACAAAACATACACCTACCTTATGACTCAGCAATTCTATTCTTATTGACCCAAGACAAATATGTCCAAAATAATTTATTCAAAAAAAATTTATTCAAGAATGTCCACAGCAGCTTTATGCATAATGTTTCCAAACTGTAAATTGCCCAAGTAGCTATCAACAGGAGAATGGATGACAAACTGTGGCACAGTAACCACTCAACAACAAATGAAAGGATTGATAGAAATTTCAAAAATGTAATGCTGAGTGAAAGAAACCTTGCACAAAAATGATTCCGTCTATATGCTGTTATAATCTACAGCGAAAAAAACAATCAGAACAAGAGTCCCCTCACTCATGGTTCTCAAATTTGGCTCAGAATAAACCTCCTTAAATTATTTCATAGAGTATGGCTACTTTTCCATCGACAAGATTGGTGTCCAGATGTGGGGCTCAGAAAATACTCAGGACCCCAGAAGGAGTAGCCTGAACTTGGTGCTAGGTACCGGCACGGCCCCTTTGATCCCCCAACTCCGAGCTTCTTCTCCAGTGTTACCAGTTAAGTCTTCCTGAACTCTGGACCTCCCATTTTTGGTTAACAGTCCTTGGTTTATTCTGAGCTGGTTTTTTCCACTAGAAATACATTGTTTGGGATCCTAATTTTGATTTGTCTTCTCCATTGCCTCTTCCCAAAATTAATCTAACTTGGCTTAAGAATGGAAAAATTTCTTAAAAATGAGGAAAGGCAGGGAGAACAACCCCTTGGGGGCACCCCAGTGGGTTTTTGGAGCCTCCACTTACTTCTGTTTAATTGTGCTAAATAAAAAGGTTCAGAGGCACGTCAGGTTTTCTAGGACTCCAGCTAGTTATGGCTAATTCTTGTATACAAGTTTTTTCCTAAAAAGCAAATTATATCAAGGAAAATTCAGTGGTTGATTTGCTAGTATAGAGTTAAAATGCCTCTCTCTCTCTCTCTCTTTTCTGTTAGCCTTTATTTCTGATGCTTGAAATAAAACTCATTGTTTATGATATCTGAAATTGAAAGGTTACCTGAAGATCTTGCAGCCAGTTCTAGCTAAAACGGAACTGCCATGGAAACTGCTTTACCCAAAACTTTGATCCACAGGCATAATTTGGTTACCTATTGGGCCAGCTAAAGTTCTGCAATGGGAGCAACGCTCAGTCTTACCAGAAGAAATCTGAATCAATTTGTCCTTTACAAACTGGTGAGTTATGTTACTATCTCATGATCAGAGTTGGAATTTTGTGTGCATGTGTATATGAGTCTGTATGTTTAGATATGTTTTGTGTGTGTCCATGTATTGTATGTTTGTGCCTACCTTGTTCTGGATTGGCTTTTAAATGAGAGTGCTTATAAATTAACTAAATGAATCCAAATGCTTTTCTAGTTAAGTTAATGCTTTTTAAAATCTATTATTGGTAAAGTAAGAATAAAAATGTTTTCAAATTGTCAGCATATATTTTTGCCTGAATTACTGGACCTTTATATATTCTTAAGGTGTTAGAGTTTTGATACAAAGGTTATTAAACTATAAACCCAGCCAAAACCCAAATAGCCTGTGTCTGTATGATTTTTAATAAGGTAAATTTAATATTGTTGAACAAATGATAAAAATTAAATTTCTTGACTTACCAACAAAAATGTCAATGTGTTTTTAAGGTTCTTAA